AATCTCAGTAAGCTACATTTTAAATCAAACAATAAAATAACACAAAAAAGGAAAAAAACCTGTTATGTATTTTAGCACTACACAAAGTAAAAATCCCCTTACCTTATTTAGAAATTCGTTTGTCTTCAGTCTATGGCACACAAAATTCCTTAACAGCATCCAAAAACTTCCTAAAATTATCTGAACTACAATCCGTATATCTGCGTTGCCACAGAAATTCACAAAAATAAGAGTAAAAAATATACTACGTATTTGCGGATTATGGCTACTAAGTAAACCTTCATTTACACAATTAATTCACTTTTCCCCTTTCGTTGCAAATCGTTCAAATTAATTCTACTACATTCAGCCATTGTACCGTCTAAACAATGAAACAAGCAATGTATTTCCTAAGCAACACACAACACAAAAGCCTTTGCAAAACATCCCATATTCAAAATTTCCAGAATAATGCAAATGATATGTCATAATAAGGTTTCTATAATGTTCAACTACTCAGGTTACCATAAATGATACAACAACTTGGCGAAAAACGAAACAACTTGGTGATAAATGAAACAACTTTGCGATAATACAAGGGATACCTTAAAGTCACCTCTACCCGGGGATTTATGTCAAGAAAGCAAAGAATGTTGGTACAACTCTGATAAACGCCCTAATTTCACCAAATGTGGCGATGTGTTTTGGGCGGGTTTTTGGCACGATTACGTGTTGTATGGCAACAATGTCACCGTTGAAAAATCTTTTGGTGGAGTAGTAATGCATTGGTTTGTGCGCGTGTGTTTTTTGAAATGGCCTTGTTGCGATGAAAGACGTGGTGGGAAGGTTTCAGCCGCACATTTAGATTGCGTGCAGAGTAAATTTAGTATGAAAAGGTCATGTTGGAGTTGTTAATGAGTCTTTTGTTCACGGGTGTGTTTATGAGGATCGAAATGTATTTTGGGAATTTCTATGGAACTTTTAAAACGGAGTCTGAAATGCGGAGCTGCTATGAGAACTCGGACGAAAAAGGACATTTCTGATAGTTCTTGCGTGGATTTCAGTCAAATGCTTGCTGGTAAAGTGGCTGTCAGCAGAGTTTAAGATTTAGATCGTGGTTTTCGTGTAGTAAGTTAACTTTGGAGGAAGTTTCTATCATTACTTTTGAAATTTTGAATCACAGAAAGACATATGTTATAACAAAATCATGGCACTTTTGTTCACAGATGTTGTGCAACTGGCGAAATTTTATTAACGAATGATTTTGGACTTGTCTGCTCTTATCTGAGAAGATAGGGGAAGATATTTCTGCTTTAAAGAGCTTTCATTATAGTAAGTGCATCTTATTTATTGTTTTTATTGTGAAATGTTAATTCATTGTTTTTTGTGAATTTCTGTTTTTATTGTTGTTTTAATTGTCGAAATTTATTTAGTTTATTTTCTTATTTTGTTTTAGTGTAGATTGTGCAATTCGTAGATTTTTTAAAGTTGAAACAGAACGCTGTGTACATGGTATTCTTTGAAATTTATTGTTGTTATTTTATTTTAAAGCGAGTGTGCATAGTTTCGTAATTCGTTCGTTGCCTACAGTGTGCCATTCGTAATGTTTTTTAAGTTAAACATGTCGCTGTGACATGGATTCTTGTCAAATTTTTTGGTTAGAAACTTTAATTTTTGCTATCTAAATTTTTTGTTTTTGTTTTGGATTTTTAGCTTAAATCGTGGTTTCAAAACGTAGTTTTGCATGTGCAAAAACCGTGTTTTTGGAGCTTTTTAGTTAAAGTTCGAATGTAGACAAAAAATTTAGATAGTAATATGGCAGCATGAAGTTTCTCGCCAAAAATATTTGGCGACTTGAGAGCGCATATCAGAGTAGTTCTTCAATGTTTTCTGGTTGCCATTACCGATTGTTGTGCTACAACATTGTTGACCGCCATTCAGGAAAACATCGCGGATGGCAGCATTATATTTTCAAGCTGCTGAGAAAGGATATAAGAAAGAGGAATTAAGAAGTACTAGGTATGAATGTTTCACTGTGAATCACAGTTATAATTTTGTAGACCCCGAAACTGGCTGCCATACCCAAACTGTGGAGAGATTGTAGGGCAGTGCTAAATGGAAAAATAAGCATTAGTGGAGCACTACTCGCCACCATTTACAGTCATATTTGATAGAATTTATGTGGTGCCAGTTATATAAAAAAACTGAAATTTTTTCTGGAATATTGAATATTTGTAATTTTATGCCACTTGTTTAGATTGAATTTTGTTTAGCTATTTTTTATTTATGCGTAAAATATTCTAGGTTGAAAAAAAAAAAAAAAAACTTAAGAATTAAGAAATTAAAAAAACTTACTTTTTACAGAACTAATTTTTTTTAGTCTTTTGAACCCTATTATTATTATTTTGTAATTTTATACTTTGCAAGAACTAAGGCCCCCCCCAAAAAGTGGTGCATTTTTTACTGATGCCGCTTTAATGGAATAGCACTGCGAGCTGTACTATTTTCCAACAGCTTTTATAAATACACAATATTTTTGGCCTTAATTTTAAAGTATGTGCCTACCAGTGATGCAAGAAACTGCAGTAAAATTTTAAAATACATATTTAATTTTGCTGCAAAATCTCTATTAGGAACAACAAGGAGATGCATTTGGTACCTAGCCAGTATTGCCGAGTTTCTGCAATTCTCTGATATTTTTCTAAGTGAAAACAGATCGCTGATTTTTTCAGAATACAAAAAAATTACATACGGATTTAGTGAAGACTGTGTTTTACTTCTTAATATATCAACTAATTCTCATTTAATAATTAAATTTGTATTTTAAATTGCTAAAGTATATTGTTACTCTTCTGTCACTGGGACTGGATTCAGAAATGTATGTCTGTATGCAGTGGCGTAGCGAGGGGGGGTGTACGATGCCCCGGGCGCCGCTCGCGGAATGGCGCCAAATGGTCTCCAAACAAGATTTTCATCATATCACTGTGTTTTTTTGGGAGAGGGGGGTGGTGCCAAAAAGGTATTTTGCCCCGGGCTCCAGTTATGTATGCATGTGCCTATACATGTGTGTGTGCAAATACTTACGTGTGTATATATACATACATGAACACATCCATCCATCCATGCATTTCTGAATCTGGTCCCGATAAAATAACAGTACAGTACGTTTTATTTTTATATGTTGATAATGTTTGCCAACTTACGATAAATACTGACAGTTTAGAAATCTTTCAGAAAACAAACAGGTAATAATTAAAAAACTATGAACTTGCATCTAATAAGTAACTTTTACCTTTTCACCTGTAAAAAACCACCAAATTGTACTCTGGTGGTTATATTCATGCCAAAGTACCGTTTAAAAATTTAAGTGTTAAAAGGCCAAAAAATATGTAAAGTAACAAAATTATAAATTTGCTTTCTTTTATCATCTCAGGTATTATAATAAAATGTATCTAGCTAAATGTCTGTGAAGTTGCTGCAGATGCTTACATATAAGAGTATGCAAACATCTTCCACTGAATATATTATATCTAATTACCTAAAAATGACCGTAATCCTTGTTATTACATAACAACATTGCAAAGGGGAGAGAGAATAATTCAACTTTGATACTAAAAGAGGCTGATAGAATAAGAAAAACAAGGAATTAGGAATAACTGTAGAAGAAAATAAGATTATTTTAGAAGCTATTAAAAACAGAAACATAGATTTATACATGACTGGCTGAAAGATAGGGAAATTTATGACCTCCCAAATCAGCTAAAATTAACGTTTTAATAATTATGAACCTTTGATATTATATTTATAAATAACCTTTCACACATTAGAATCTTTTTTTGGAAAAGTGCAAAATCACCCACTGCTTGGCGCATTTTGAAGAATTGCACATACTCTGTATCCGTGTGCACATCGACCTATTTTCACTCACAAAAACATGGCATTGCACACTCCCTTGACATTTATCCATGTACACAAATGGCATTGCGTACTCCTTTGACTTTATCCATGTACACATCGACCTAATTTCACTTAAAAAGTCAAAGAAAATTGACAAAAGTCTAATTCCTCTTACTCTTGTAAAAAGCACCAAACAAATAAGTGGGCGATTCTGCACTTTACCCCTTTTTTTTCTATTTTCAGAGAACTTTCTTTTCTTTGACATAAAAGTATTGCAATGCTATACCTTCCACTTTTACTTTCAAGTTGAAAATCACAAGTTATATGCTCACACATGATACTTAATTTTCAGTGAATTACTAAAGGTTTTCTAAAATTTTCTTCAGTAATGTAAAGACACGTAAAATGTACACACGTAAAAATGTTTTGGATAGTAGTTAAAAAATTCAATTCAAGAATGTTTACCAAATAATACTGTAAATCCTCTTTGAATGTGCCTTTGCTCATTTCTGAATTCTTTTTATTTTTCTACGTTCTGAAGGCAATGAATTTAATTGCATATTACAAATAATCATCACAAGCAGTAAGTTATGTGTGCAAATTATTTTAATTAACACTAACTGATAATTTTATTGAACAGTTAAAAAAATGTGAGCTGCAATCACATACATTTTTATTCACAGCTATGAATGGAAAGGTAGCAGAAATGCTTATTATTTCAAATGCCTGCAATACATAGGGAATTCATGCTACTATGTATGCAATACAAAGGCAAATGAAATTAATGTTTGCAATATAAATGGAATCCATACTATGAGAAGGATTGCATTAAGAATTCATGGAGAGGTCAACGCACAAATTTTGTTTTACTTTACTGATAATCGATACATCTACCTAAATAATATACTTTTGATCTGAACATGGAATATTATAACATGGACATATGGTAACAAAGAATGTGATAATCAAAAGAATAAATAAATTAAAAGAATAAAATAGAGTGCTTATATGCAAAAAATTCATATCATGGCAAATAAGTTATTTTTTTAAGCTTTTATATATACTGAACACTGGCATTGCTTTGTAACTATTTTGGTTTCATGTTACGCAATCAAGAATCTTACTTGGAGGTTCTTTCATGAGGTAGAAAGGTCCACTGTGAACTATTGATGGAGTTCTTCCTAATGATATTGTAGTTTTCAAAGTACCAGTAGAATCCTGGCGTGGAACCACTGGCGATCGAGAGCCCCTTGGGCTCGATTTTGGAGAATACGAAGAGTCTCCTCTCCTCAAGTCGCCCATTTTCATAGCCTACATGAAAAGCTGATCACCAAGCTGCCAACTAAATAGTGTAATATTGAGTATTAATGGTGAATACTCTACATTACAGTCTCTCCATTTTCATGTCGCTGAGCATAAAGCAATCAATACCAAATGCCCAAATTCCAAGCTCTTTTGGTGCCAAAATCAAAATAAAAAAAAAAAAAAACAAATTTCAGGAATAATTTAATAGCTATTTTAATTAATTTTATTTTTGCGTTTAGTCTATTCTATTTCTCAATATTTTTCAATTTATTTCTTTAACACACTTTCGTTATGGAAATCATATTTATTATTAAATATTTTAAATACGCGAAAGACTTCCTTATTTATTGCAAAAATAATGATTGAATACTTTATAAGACTGGATGAATGGTTGTACTACGAATTAATTTTTGAACAAGAAACGCTTGCATATGTGTTCATATTTATTGTACTTTTTATAATAGTTTACAAAGTAGTCCATAATAGCTTACAAAGTTCAGTTACCTATTTATACTTTTAATATTATCCATATTTTATTTTGTTTCCATTTTCCTAATAGTAAAGTAATATTACACAGTTATTCTTTTTCCCCAGTCAGAAATGTTTCCATGCTTTGTCAGCTAGAAATATCAAATAATTTAAGTAATTAACTTTGATTTGTGATCAATTTAAGGATTTTTTTTTAAAAAAATTTCTGCGAATTTAATGTTTTTTCCCTGCGGATATCGATATGAATCAAGCGACGATCCGATTGGCTAATAGTGGGTAACAGGAAAAGTAAATAAAAGGAAACGTAAATAATAAGTGGAAAAGTGTTTATTTGAGCATTAAAGTAAGTAATTATATATATTTATTTTGTGTATTTATTAGTTTCGTTGTGTCGAAATTGAATTCATTATATAAAAAAAATATTTCGTACTCAGTATTTGTTTTGTTTTTCGTGTAATACTTAAATACGAAAAGTCAAATGCAGCTGAAAATTATTTGATGAAAAATTTATTTTCAGAAATAGTTGCTATATCTGTGATGTATCTTAAATTTTCAGAGTCCTGTAATTAGTAACGGGAAACATTTTCGTTGTCCTTTTTTTACTAATCTGCACTTACATCAAAATCCTATACTTGTACATAAAAATTATTCACATAATTTTATGCTTATTCAAGTATGTACATTTATGTATGCATTATATATATATTTGTGTATATTCATGGTTGTTACAGGATGCCATATTATATGCATGAATTAAATCCTGATTACAATCCTGCTACTGGCATGCTGCATCATATGACAACTGATGAACTGAAGCAGCTTTTGAATGATGATGAGAGACTTGAATCAATGATAAAAGATTTACAACAAGTATGATTTATTTATATTATTCTTTGTTAAATATGGCATAGAATATTATCCGCTCGTGTGAATGATTATTATTTAAGTACAAAGTTTATTAATTTTTATACAGTTTTTTTGGTGTCTTTCTTGGAGAGATATCAGTGTGGGCTTCTGCTTTCTATTGAAAAAGAAATTAAACAGATGTCTTTTTTAGGAAATTGAGATCACTTCCCCACCCACAAAATATAAATTCTAGTTTATTTTAAACCTTTAGTAAAACTGGAAAAGGATATGGGTACTTTTCTGTTACAGGTCTGGATTCAGAAAGATATACATGCACACATGCATGCATAGAATGCATGCACACATACATGCATAGAATGCATGTACACATACACACATTTAGAATACACGCATACTTCTGAATCCGGACCCGATAACCGAAAAGTACCAAGATTGATTTTAGTTTTCAGTACTCACTCTTTTTGTATACCAGAGGAATAAAAAAATGATTTATGCTCTAATATGTACTAGTTCTGGATGGATTTGTCAGTATTGTATTGTTCTTTTTAATCATAATTTTTGTTCTAATAGAAATATTTATATTCTGTAGCATGATTTATTATTAGAAATTCAGATAGTATTTTATGTATTAATAGCCTTTGGCTATTAATTAATACATAATGATGGCTTGCCATTATAACAAAAATAGCACAGTTTTTCATTTCATTTTCATTTTCATTTTCATAGTAACAGTTTTTCATTTCATCTTGTTCATTGTTTAAATTTTTTTATCAAAGATATTCTTTTAAACATTTTTCAAAGATATATAATGTTGAGGTTTTAGTTAACTATATTTTATTAAATAATTTTGAATTTTTCCTCTTTTTAAATTATAAAAAGTTACTTTAAATTATACTTGCAAATATTTATAACAGGATCGCTAAATGATCGTACTCAAGTGTATCGTGATGATAGTTAATTGTGATCTAAATTAATTTTTTGAAATTATAGATACAATTCATGATGAATATTATTTTTCTTTTACTCTTAATTTTTTAACAAGACATAATTATTCTGTCTAATAGTAACTGCAGGTTAATAATGTCTAATAGCAATGCAAGTTAGTATTAATTTTTGTATTCTTTTGACAGGTAAAAAAGGCAGAATCTGAAAGAGAAATGTTATTAGCAAGTAATAAGAGTTTAGCTGAATATAATTTATCCAAAGAACCTGTTTTAAATGAGCTGAGAAGTAAGATTTGTGAAGAATCTGAGGAACTGAAATCTCTTAAGGAAAGTGTAGAAGCAAAGAAGCAGAAATTGGGTAATTTTTTTTTTTCTCTATATGACTTTTATATTGAGATATACAATCCAAAGTTCAGTTGAAATTCAGAATTGTGTTACATAGCTGTGGAAGAAACTCTAAAGGGTAATGAAACACACTGAAACAAATGCGTTTCTTCGCCGAATGCATGGTCACATAATATTATAAAGTTTTTCTCCCACCTTATTGGTGAGCCTTCGTGGTGTGGTGGTTTGCACACTGCACAGGTTCGTGGTTTGATTCCCGGCGAAGGCATTGCAAATCTTTCATTTCTCGTGCTTCCAAATTATACCTAATGTCTCTACAGTGGTGCCCAAAATAAAAGGGTGTTGGATGATGATTCTCCTCACCCAGGATTTGGCGATTCGGTCTCCTAAAACCTCTGTCGCCCTTTAAAAAGGGGAGTATATAAGGTATTTCTCCCGCTTTCCTAGCGTGCCTTCATGGTGTAGTGATTCTGCATGCTGGGCTGGTATTCCAGAGGTCCGTGGTTTGATTCCCAGCGAAGGCGATTGCGCATTTTTCATCTTGCCTCTTTCCAAAAGATACCTAATATCTCTACAAGTGGCACCCAAGCTAAAAGAGTGTTGGATGATGATTCTCCTCACCCAAGATTTGGCGATTGGGTTCCCTAAAATCCCCAGTTGCCTTTTAAAAGGGAGAGTATATAAGGTATTTCTCCCACCTTCTTGGCGAGCCTCTGTACTGTGGGCCAGTCAGGGCTTAATTTCTAAAATTAGAAGTGTCAGAGCCCTATAGAAGACCGTCAACAAAGACTAAATAAATAAAATGACTATTAAACTCAATAATAATTTTAAAATAAAATAGTTACTTATTATCAAATAATTAATAGGTATTCATTAATGTTTATGAATTGTTATTTACTCAATAATTTATTAATTAATAAATTATAATTTAATTGATAATTGTTGATAATTAATTATTATTTATGAAATAATTAAGATTAAAGTAATTTGTATTAAATTAAATGAAAGTTAAGAGATAAATTAAAATTTAATAAGTGATTTTTAATATAACTTTATTATTAAAATAAAATTTTCAAGATAAAATTTCTACTGAAATTGTTATTCAATTACATAAAAGAAGTGCCGCTGCCTTCTTATTCAGAGCTCCGGAGCGCTCTGTCTGGAATTATGATTTATTACAAAAACCAAGAAGCACCGGAGTTGTACTCAGGTAGGCTCCAGCCCAATTTAAGCTCTGATCGTAGGGGAGGGAGAGTTCTTTTATCATTACAAAAATTAAATGTACTTAAAGTATAGGTGATGAAAATTCAGATAATGCTAAAAACAGGTAAAACAGAATGAGGGCCTGAGGGTATGAGTGGGTGAAAACAAAAAATGAGAGGAATCTTTGTGAGAGAGAACGTTCTCTTTCACCGTGGCTCTCCGCTGATATAATTGTAGCCATCAAGCAGATGTCTGTCAGGGGTAAAATGAGTCCTGAATATGACTTCCAAGGATGAATGTAAAGTTGCTGGTTACGCTTTTCGACACCCGTATTTGGTTACTTTAGTGGATACTATGGGAAGACGATGCGTAGGATGTGCTTGAGTAGTTTATCTCAGTATTTCACTCTTATTGTACTCACTGTCACTTAACGCACATTTAAGAATACAAATTTTCCTTCCTGTGAGGATAACTAACTGTAACTGTCGATAACGATACACTAGATGTGATGGCATGGCGAGAAATTTACACGTTCCTAAACAAACTCTGCCAAATTTATTGCCCATCTTAAAGGGAAAGGTTTCCGCATCTGAGTCAGGGGACTTTACTTGAACGTCTCATGTTCTCATGAGTTCTTATTTCTAGGGAAATGGATTATTGCAAGGCCTGCTTATTGTTAAACTAAAATGTTAGGAATTCTAAATTTATTCCCCTTGAAATTGTAGTTCAGTTTATAAAAAGAAGTACAGTAGCTCATCTTATTTAAGGCTCCGATGCGCTCCAGCTCAATTTAAGCACTGGGGCCGGTATTCCAGATGTCCGTTCAATTCCCGGAGAAGGTGGTTGCTAATTTTTCATCTCTCTGGTTTTTCCAATTAACCTAATGTCTCTACAACATGTTAGATATTGAAGGGTGTTTTCTAGCTCGCTGGGTATTGAATCTTTCTCATTTCAAAGACTGATAAAGATATCTGTTTCATCTCATTCATAAACCCGGTTCTTATACTCAAGCATTTTGTTAAATAAAATTTCAGAATGAAGTAAAGGAGTTTAATTACTATACTATAAAAATATATAATTATGCTTTTTAACTATTAGTAATAAACTCAGTAGCTTATTATATTCAGTTTTCGGGGAATCAAAATATTTACATATTAATTAATAGAAAACTGCTGTTTATTAAACTCATCTTTGCAACTTATTAAAGTCAGATTGGCAAAAGACTGATTCTTCAGTACCAGAATATCTTACTTATCAGAGCTTTTCATAGCTCATCTACTTAATGTATTGTGGACTGTGGCTTTATCGTTCAGGTATTCAGTGCTTCAGTAAAATGGGTTTGATCAAAATTTTCCTACCACCTGATTCCTGTATCTATAAGACATTTTTTTAGAGTTCTTAGTCTGCAACTGAACTTCGGAAAGGCAGAATTTTCACAAGGTTAAAAAAAAAACCAATCCTGTATAGACATTGTAAAAGAGTGAGGGATTCTTCTATAATGCCGGTTGATAGGAGAGGTGAAAGAGCAACTTCTGTATCCCGTCTTTTAAGGTTTCCACATTCAAAATTGCCCTTTAGAATACACACATTATGTTTACAGAGAGTTCATAATAAAGTTCATGAACACTTCTGAGCAAGTCATAATAAAGTTCATAAACGCTTCTGAGCATTACTGTACGTTAAGAATCTTTGAATAAAAGGAATTGATAGTTAACTATGGACTGAAGAAAAAGCAATGGTCATGCTTGTAATCATGAAATGGCACATCAATTAAACAGAAAAGAGCAATCTTTCTTCTGGCTAGAAATGTAAATTTTGAAATTTGAATAAATCACCAGAAGAAACATTTTAAAAATTTGTATTGTGTATAACTTGTAACATATTGAATGGCAAGCCAAAGGACTTATGCCATTAAGTCTAACATTCTGCTTTTAATTTTAAAATATTATAAAAGCTGTCAAATGTCATTGTGGAAAAGATATTTGGTATGTAATGAACAAATTTGAATTTTGTGAAAATGCAAGCACTTTGAAAGAGATAAGTGAGTTGATATTTCTGCTGAATATTATAGTCAATGCAGATGTTAATCTTCTAAGATCAGTTAGAAACTATTTTCAGAAATCTAGTTTTTATGTAGAAGAAGCCCAGAGGAATTGCACACTGTAGCTAGTGTTTCAGATATCAGTGAGTGAAGTTATAAGAATTCATTTTTAGAATAACAACAATATTGAGATAAAGTGCATAAAAACTGACTGTGAATAGGTTGAAAGAACTACAAGCTCTGACAGCAAAAATGATACGGAAAAAAGTGATGACATGCTACCATCAATCGAATTTAGAAAAGCAATGTAAATTCTTGGAAAAATTTTTGAGCTGAAAGGTGTTACGTGCTTTTTATGTTTAAATGAGAGGCAGCAATATCTGAGTTTTTGAAGTTAATTTACATTTAGTGCAGTTTTAATTTTAGGCAATAGTACAGATTTGATATATCAGATAGCAACAATAGATATTATTTTTATTCAAGGAAAGAAGCAAGATTTTTTTTTTTATTAACAGGATGCTACAAAGTCAAAACATATTTACAAGTGTCAAAACATAAATATTTCTTCAAAATCTAACTAGAAATAGGAATGATAACTCTGATGATATTTTTGCGTGCATATGGGTTCATAATAAATTGAATGCACAAGTCCGATGAAAAGTGAATAAAATTTATTTTTATCACTACAAATAAAAACACAATGCTTAAATTCCCTCAGATATTCATACAATTTTGCAATATCTCACAGTACATGTCAATTTTCTGTTACCTTTTAAGTCACTATAGGTTGATGTGCACATAGATAAAGTCAAGGGTGTGCGCTAAAAAACCAATCCTGTATAGACATTGTAAAAGAGTGAGGGATTCTTCTATAATGCCGGTTGATAGGAGGTGAAAGAGCAACTTCTGTATCCCGTCTTTTAAGGTTTCCACATTCAAAATTACAGGATTGGTTTTTTGTGTTTAAAAGATAACTACCAAAAACGTTCAACAGAACCAATTAAAAATAGAGAAAGCTAATCCAATTTCACCGCAAATTCGCTACCATCAACAACAACAGTTTTCCAAACAAACTGAATTGAGAGGTTTTGTTCCTACTTTTATAAACTTTTTAATCAACATGAGCACAGTCTGATATTTTCTCGATTTATCCCGAAAAGCAAAAGCGTACAATTCTTTATTAAACATGCGTATTAAACTGCATAGTTTTCTTTCTCTTCAAATAAGTCATGTGCAGCATCACATGGGGAAATGAAACAATTTAATAACAATTCCATTAAAAATAGCAAAGTAAATAAATCAATACAAAAACCCTAACACTATATACAATTTCATGAAAAGAATGTTATTGTATTAAATCCAAAATAAATACAAAAAGCTATGGTAAATACAGAAATTCCTGAATAAAAACACATATAATTATTCCATTCAACAGCTGTAGTAGGCAGAATTCTATTAATGCAAGCTTATAATAACAGGAGAGGAATGTGTATACCTTCAAACTAGCATTCACTTTGTAAACCTTTCATTTCGTGACATAATCTTTTCATAATATTTTAGTGCTCTAGTAATAATAAAATATTATTACAAAATGTACAGGTGCGGTAAAATGGCTTACCCACAAAGCAGTTTTAGGGTTGCCATAAAATGGCAAGAGAAGGCAGGGTTGCCACATTTGGCGAGGAATCGCCGATTTGGTGAAAAAATTGGCAATATACCATGGACGGATGGAGAATGTTCTGGAGCGAATTCTCACCGGTTTAGCCCAGATTGTTCTCGAACACAAGCCGAAAGGGTACTATTCGGTTTCGAGGGTCGTTAAAAAAATTGCAGCGAAAATGTATGCGCGAAGGCGCCAAATCTAACAAACACGCCCATTTAACAGCGTGCCAAATCTCGCGTACGCGCTGATTTCAGATTGCATAAGTTTATATTGTTATATATTTCTTAAGATGCCATTAAAGTACTAGTTTAATTTTTAATTCCTTTTTAGATATCCTATCTATTTAACAATTTGGGAATTGCCTATGATGAAAAGTCTGCGATAGAATTTTGGGTAAAGTGCAGAATCACCCACTGCTTGACACGTTTTTAAGAATTGCACATACTCGGTATCCATGTACACATCGACTTATTTTCACTTAAAAAAAATCCCAGAATTGCACAAAAATGTCACTGCGCACACCCTTGACTTTATCTATGTACACATCAACCTATAGTGACTTAAAAGGTAACAGAAAATTGACAAAATTCCAATTGTTTTACCCTTTTAAAAAGCGGCAAAGAAATAAGTGGGCGATTCTGCACTTTACCGAAAATGTTTTCAAAGAAAAGGCATCATTCATTATAGAAAATTATGTTTGAACAACCAACGAGATGACATTATGCTTTAGCGATAACTCGGTAGCAAAATATTACATGAAATTAACCTTTCATCTAAATTAAAACATCAATATTTAGATAGATATTTACTATTATCTTTCCTCTCTTGCGTTAGGGTTGTCACAATTACTTTTGGCATCACTGGCATCAACAATAGTTTGGCAATTTTTTACAGCCGTTGAAACCGAATAGTACCGCTGAAAGCTATATAAACCCTGCTGGTCTGCAGTCAGTTAGAGTGCCTCGTCGAGAGGGCGAGTGAGTGTGTCTCGTCTAGAGTGCGAGTGTCTCATCTACTTAGTTCGTGCGGAGACGAATGAGTTGACAGCCGACCAGAGACTGCCATGTGGGTCATCGAGTGCACCAAAGGAATCTCTTAGTGCATCAGGGTTAGTGCATTGTTGAGAGAGAGTGTTGAGCTCCGGAAACGACTGAACCGAGGAGTCAGGAGCTGCACTGTTGAGTGTGTTGAGTGCATCGTGAGTGGCAGCGTGGAGAGTCTCGAGAGTACGTGGAGTTCCGAGAGCAACCAAGCAGAGTCGGGAGCTGTACTCTGGTGCTCTGCAGTGAAGCTCTCTCCACCGTTATTGCCTGACAGTGGCAGGGCTGTGTCGCTGATTGTTCTAGTGTGTTTATTGTAGATCTTCGATGACTGTAAAAATGTTCTGGAGCTGGCCTTATTGATATTGGCAAATAAAGTGTGTTTCGATACTTCATCAAGTGCTGTTGTCCTTGTTCACTCCAAATCCTCACGAACCCCATATGAACGTGAAGGAAGAAAATAACTTAACAACTGGTGTCAGAAAAGAAAAACGTAACAATATAATTTCATTGTATGGTTTTTCGAATGAAGTCTTTTAGTACAAATGATACTTTTGTCTTGGAAGAATTTAATCACTACTCTTCTTCATTTGGCAGATGTCAAATTGCATAATCCATACTAATTCTCAAAAAAAAGGGAGGAAAGGGGGCTCTTCAGTAGGGGAAAAAATCAAAACATGAAAGAGAAAATTATGAGATCGATGTTAATTTTTTCCTCTTAGTCATAATGAGGCCATGGCCTAACTACTTGTGAGATGAAATAAATAGGTTTCCATATTTAGCTTTGTGGTGCACAATTATGTTGTGCCATGTTTATCAAAACGTACCAGCAAGACATTTGTGTAATCTCTCACTGGTTCAAAATTTTATTCAATTGAATTCATAATTCTTTAAATTCCTATTTAATTTATACATCATAATTACGTACAAGTAACTATTTACATACATTTTTAAGATATAGTTTTAGTTTACATGTCATCTGCATATGTGAGATATTTCTTTCTAAAAATTTCTTTTTGATCAATTTGCATTTTTCACATTATGAGGATATAATGTGAGCTTTTGGTCTTAAAATGGAATCTGATGGCAAATCAGATTGCAGAGTTCTTCCATTTAAAGGAAAAAGAGAGTATTGTAGCTAGAGAGTGTACTTTCTCTTCTAATTTATTCTATTATGTTCTATTAATGGTATTTAGCCTATTTCGAAATCAGTTTTCTTTCCCTTGAAAAGCCAACTGAGAGTGCTAGTGGGCTAATATACCATTTTTCCGCTATTTAATTATTGTTTTTGTAGCTAGTTTTTGATGCTTTTTGTGTCTTTTTGTTATTTTATTTATTATTTTTTTAAATTTTAATTTTTATGTATTGGCATATTATATATTGGCAATTTTAATTTTAATTTTTTATGTATAGGCATTTTATATATTGACATTTATAATCCATGTTTTTGTAACTTCCTGATATATATATATATTTTTTCCGTCCATCTTTTCTTCATGTGAGTTAACTTTTCACATTATATTATTCCATTGGACATTCAATATAATATATATACAATATTAATTACATTCATTGTAAACTGTGTGCAGTGCTGCAAACAATACTAATATAAATCTTTTATAGTTGCATTGCATGTGGTAAACCTTATAGATTAGTATTATTTATGTTGTTATTACAAGCCTCTGCCCATTTGTTCATCTGATTTCTCATTTCAAACTATCAGCCAGTATATGTGTATAAGTAAGGTAATGGAACTTCAAATGTTGCTACAAACATAAGCATAGGTGAGACTTATATAAAAGACTATTTTCATTTTGTTAATAAGTGTTGTGAAATTCCTTGAATGATTTTTTTTTCATATTGGCACATTTAAAGTCATATATAATTTTTTTTTTAAATTTTAATTTGCAAAAATAAATAGGGAATTATCTTGGAGAATGTTGTTTCTGAGAGGTGGACAAAGTTTTGGAAATATGCACACTGTAATTTTTTTTCCTTTTCGAGAAAACTTATGAATAGTCTTGTGCAAAATGTGAATAAGTAAGAAAATACACATTGATATGGAATATTTCTTAGTGAATTAAATTAACTATCTAATTTGATCATATGTGAAAATTTTAGTAATTACAATAGCATTTTAAAATTATATGGTTATTTTTTAAAATAATAATTAGTGATAAATAAATGATCAGTTTTATGACTTCCACATTAATTGACCTAAAATAAAATTTCGTTTGTTAATGTTTGTTTTTCTGAATTTTTTATGTTATTTGCTGCTGCTTAGGTATTTTTTTTTATTAGTGGTACATTAGTTTTCTGATAGTGCCAAATGCTTTCGTTCCTTTTTGTAATAAATAAATAAAATACATGAAACAGCTGAATGACAAATGATCAGGATACTTAAAGGGCTTATCGTTGTGGGAGGGAAGAAGATAGTTGTGTTTCAAACAGAGCTAGGAGAAAAATAATATTGAGTTTAGTGCCAAACACCAGGTCCTATAGTGCTGAACAACAAAACGAACCATGACAAGCAAAATTTTATCTCATTTGCTTAGGTAACATTTTATATTTATTATGGCATCACAGTAGGATTTTGATAATATTATTCCCTTTGTAGTTAAAGAAAGTTAGCGTAGTGTTGGGTTTGGACTGAAAGGAAGTAATCCCATGTGTTTTCAGTGTATATTATCTGAACAAAATCCTGAATCTTAGGTGGATGATTTATGGACTAATAGGTTCATTTTATTTAGTCATATATGGAAGAAGTGATACCATACATATATTCTTCCTGGATCTTCAAGATCTAGAGACCAGGACCTTCTGCAGGGTCTATCTTGATCCTGTTGCATGCACTCAAGTGAAAATGGAAAATGACTTTGACTGCAAGTTTTAAAGTATGTGCAATTGAACTGAATTTGCTAGGCATTTCTTGACTGGATCTGGAAATTTACACCTTAGGATCATAAAAATTCCATTCGTAACTTTGGCATATTATCTACTATAAAATAGATTTCTTCCTTCCTGCAGAGATTTCGTGACATAATGGTTCTATTTAGTTTCCATTGAACTGCTTCTTATATCAAAATACTAAAGAAAGGTTTTAAATACTGAAATTATGAATTAAATGTTTGAAAAAATTAATTTATTATAATAACTATAGCATGTAAATCACAATATGTAGAATTCAGAAAATTCTTGTTTTGTACTCTCCAACTGTCAAATCTTAATAACTGTTTTAGCGGTTTTTACAGAGAAAATTCAAAGAGAGTTTTCAACTAAAAAGTATATTCCTTTCTAAAACCAATTTTGGCTAATCAGTTTGCTTTTCAGATTCATGAAAATTTATTCCAAATTTTAATAATTATGTTAAGAATTATTCAAACAATGTACGTTAATGTCTGAAAATGTATTAGTATATGCTGGTTTTCAGATGACCTAACAAGACAGATGTCCCTTGACACAACACTAGCTTTGCTGCAAGCTGCTGCTGCAGAATCTGAAGAAGAAAGTGAAGTAAGTTTAATATTTGAAATACTCCTAAGTGAAAAATTTTAATTGAATTTGCCCAGAAGGACTATAAATTTCATTTTGGCCACTAAATATTATTGCCCTGTATTATATTTAAATAAATTAAATAATAAAGAATCTGCATGAATGTATGCATGTTTCTCGCATTGTGCTAAATCAATGGTACCTAGAGCCATCAAAATTTGAATAAAATAATCTTCCATAGAATAGGGCCATGTGGAAGTCCTAATTTGAATTTGAAATTTGTTTTATTATCAATTTCATATTTTGTAACACTTCAACGAATTTTTGATTAACAAACTAAACGATTTTAAAACATGCAATGGCAACACTGTATGGGAAAAAAACCATTTTTGTCTCCAGTGTGTGAGACTCTGTATTGGAAATTCTAAAGATATGCTCATTTTAAATTATTTTGAGATATTGCTGTTGAACTGAATTTTATATTTTAAATGTGAAGAACATGATATTTAATAAATAAAGGCAACACACAAAATATTAGAAAAATGCCCTTTTGATGTAATTTAAAAGCTAAAACCTTCCATATTTTTTATGTGTAATTTTTTTCAAACTAGCCTTTTGATTTAGTTTGTAGATATGTTGCTATGCCAACTTTGACTAGTAATACCATCATTCATTTCTTGCTTTTAAGATTTCTACTTTATTATTACTACTTATTATTATTACTACTTAGATGTCAATAAAGTTTTGAGTGTGTGACTAAGATTTTTGTAAATCTCTGTTAACAATCAGTCAGTGTTAAACTGGTTACTGAAAATTCTTCTTACTAGTGTTCAAGAATATTCAATAATTCAAGTTTCAAATCAAGTAGTTACTAAAAATCTTAAAGAAATGAAAGTAGCATTAAAATTTTAACAAGTACATCAACATAATTCAAATTCTTTGAATTGCTAAAATATGGTGATATAGTGTTCAATATATCCCTTGTGTCTTTCTTTTTGTGTCCGTTTATGTTATCAGATTTCAACACTGCATCACATTTGCTAAGATTAAAATTGGATAAAATTGACTAAAATAGACATTGGACTAAAATGGATAGGACCCAAATTAGATTATTTATTTGATTCAATGACATGCTCTTATATAAATTATTTTACCTATATCAATGTTCCTTTTCATTTATATGATTATAAAAAGCAATAAAAAGGCAGAAATCTTTTAGTTAAGGAGAAACCTATTTTATAACCCAATAAAATGTGATTCTGTTTCTTTTATGAGAAAATTGTGTGAATTATTCAGAAATTAATATTGAAATTTTTCACCCATTTTCAGCTTAAATAGGTGTAAGTTATGCCATCCAAAATTTGATATAAATCTTAAAATACTTCATTAATTTAAATTTTTGCCACATCTACAATATGATGTCAAATAATAGATATGTGTATTCTAAATATTCCTTCACTAATGATATAAGGGTTACAGGAATGAAATCAATGACTGTAAAACATGCTAACAGCTTTTACAAAATGGAATAAACTTGCTAAATAGTAATTGCAAATGTAGTTAGTTAAAATGCATTTAATAAATTATATGACTTTTTGTTACCTGTAATTAACTGTATTTTTTTCTCTTTTTTTCCTGTGTAGGCAATCTCTGAGAATTTCTTGTCTGGTGAAATTCAGGTTGATGCATTTTTAGAATCTTATTTAAACAAAAGGAAATTAACTCATTTAAGAAGAGTGAAAGCTGAAAAAATGGCTGAACTTTTGAATCAAGCTCGAGCAGCAAGCCGTAATTATGCTGCTCGTCCTATAAACACACCACCATATTCCAGTAACTTTGGTGCACCATATCCTACTACATCTTGTCCTTATCCAATTGCGATGCCTCCTCAAGGAGATATGCCATATTTTAGATAGCTAAAAAATGATGTTCATTGTTCTCTGTATTCATCTAGTCTGCGTATTGCAGTCTCATTGCAAAATGTATATTTTAAGGAATTATAAATTTTACTTACTAGAGTTAAATTTATGTCAACAAAGTTTTGAGTGTGTGACTAAGATTTTTGTAAATCTCTGTTAACAATCAGTCAGTGTTAAACTGGTTACTGAAAATTCTTCTTACTAGTGTTCAAGAATATTCAATAATTCAAGTTTCAAATCAAGTAGTTACTAAAAATCTTAAAGAAATGAAAGTAGCATTAAAATTTTAACAAGTACATCAACATAATTCAAATTCTTTGAATTGCTAAAATATGGTGATATAGTGTTCAATATATCCCTTGTGTCTTTCTTTTTGTGTCCGTTTATGTTATCAGATTTCAACACTGCATCACATTTGCTAAGATTAAAATTGGATAAAATTGACTAAAATAGACATTGGATTAAAATGGATAGACCCAAATTAGATTATTTATTTGATTCAATGACATGCTCTTATATTAATTATTTCTGCTTGTATTTTAGCAGTTCAAAGTGAGTTTTAACATTTTTATAAGGGAAACTTGTTGAATATCTTTGAACTAGTCATTGTATTATCTTTTACATAGTGATGTCATTTCATAGACAGCTTGAAGTTTTCAGGAGAACTGAGTGATATACAGTAGAATTTCCACTATCTGGAAAGCTCAGGAAATCCTGAATGCAAAATATGTTAAAATTTTGGATAATTGAACATACAAGAAGTGCAGTTCTTGTTAGAGAAGCCAGACAGATGAAAAAAGTTCCTAGTCTAAAGTTATAAAAGAAATCATAGTATTTGTTATCACTTTGAAGAGCAAAAAAACCTACATTTAAAATAAGTTTTGAAACAAATTCCATTTCAATCACGAAAGCCATTCATTGTACATTGTAGGTTAATAAACATCTTACTCAATTATGAAACCCTGTCTACCTCGAAAGTTACTAGCAGTGTCATTAAACTTGCAGTTTATTTCAATAGAAGTGTAAAGGAGCTGATAATTCTTTGTTTAGTTAGATAATTAGCAGATACAAATTACTGATATTGCACTTAAATTTCTTATCATAAATTTTCATGTTGCATCTCCATTGTTTATACATTTTTGAATAAAGTCGCATATCAAACCAATTAACTCTAACTTTTCTTGTTGCGAGGATCCCACATCTTTGAAACAAACTCCACTATGTGTTGTTCCATAGAAGGCGGGTTTCAAATTTTAATAATTTTTCCAAAATGTGAGAAGAAAACAGATAAATAGCAATTAATTTATATCATTCTTTGCAAAACTATACCTATCTATCGAGAATTAAGTGGGTCCACATAGAGCCAAGGCAAAGATATTATGACTGTATTGTGACATCATGCTGATCCATTTTTGACACTAAATCACACAGTTTGCCAAAAATGCTGTATACAGTCAAAAATCGTTAATCCGGACTCGTCGGGACTTCGGCAATTCCGGATTATCGATTTTTCCGGATTATAGATCATCAGTTTAAATCTCGTAAGATGGCATGCAGAAATTCTAAAATTAAAAATATGAAATCGTAATTTATGAAATAAAGAACAATTATGATCTGAAGGGTATCAAAATTTACAAAAAAAAAAAAAAAGCTTAATATTTATTTGTTTATTTTATTAAACATTTCTTTCAATGTAAGTTGTTTAAGTTGCTTCGTTTTATGTGATAATACTTTCTCTTTAATTCTATAAGCAGACATAATTTCTTGTTCAGTTACAAAGTTCTGCTGTTCAAGTCCCGTAATTGCTGTGCCGAGAATACCAATCGAAATTTTTTCGATTGTCAATCGAAATTTTTTCGTTTTCACCAACCTCTCTGTCACCTTCTTCATGTCTTTATCTATTTTTTGCAGCAATTCCACTTTTTGTTTGATGGACATCGAAATATACTTTCGTTTTGTAGATCCTTTGGGAGCTCCAGCATCGGAAATTCTATTTGACATAATCGAAAGTTCAAGTTTACTTTTATAAAATTGCTCTTACAGTCTGCAAAAAATAAGCCGGATCCAACTCGAAGATTAAGGGACAACGCAATCATCAACATTAATTGAAATAGATAATTTTAGCTTATACCGTCCGTTATACATAAAACGCGCACGCGAAAATGTATTCTGCTCCTGCGCGCACGAATATGCGCAGTTGTAAAGGTCTTACGCGCACGCGTAATCGCCTGTGCGCATGTGTAAACGCGGCGCATGCACAGAAAGTGTTTAGCTTTGAGGTCCGGATTATGGGTGTCCGAATTAATGACTTTTGACTGTAGTAGCTATGAAAGCTTTCCTGTATGCTTGGGGGGGGGCAGAAAGTTTCTCAAACCATAAATATTCTGGTTACTTAAGCTTTCTGGCTAATTGAATGCCAAACAGTCAGGCTTTTACTGTATTTTAATTACCTGTGTTTGTATGCAGCATTCCATTTATGGAGAAAATGGTTTTAAACTGTGTTGCATCTTAAAATTAATTCCCATTTTAAAATTAATGGTTTTAAACTGTGTTGCATCTTAAAATTAATTCCATTTTAACAGAGTTTAAAGCAAAAGTGTATAAATTTCAAATGAACTTCCTGTTATCAACTAAGATTCTTAGTTGGTCTGAATTTTTATAAGTTTTGAAGTTAAATTTTGTATAATATTAAGTGTTATATGAATGCAGACATGTTCAGGACAACTTTGTAATTTATAACTATGTATTCCTCCCTTCTTTGAAACTGTAAAATAACAAAATTGTAATGCGATATAATCTTCACTAATTTTAATGTTTAAAATTTTAGGCTAAAATTATATGCTTTTTTTTTATCATTTTCCAAACCAAATTATTATAAATCAGTAACAAAATATTTCCTGGCTTCAGTGTTTTTAAAAATTTTGTGGACAAGATTTCATTTTTATTGAAATTTTAGAGGGCATTTTAAGTGATTTCTGATTTAATATTCTGATTTTTGGTGTACAATTTGAGGTAACCTTTTTTTCAATGGGTTTCATTAAAACCGGTTTTGCAGATGTATTCATATTTGTAAGTAATTTGTGTGTGTGTGTGTGTGTATGGATGTGAGTAAAAGATAATGAAAATTTGGAAAATTTTCCAAACCAAATTATTATAAATCAGTAACAAAATATTTCCTGGCTTCAGTGTTTTTAAAAATTTTGTGAACAAGATTTCATTTTTATTGAAATTTTAGAGGGCATTTTAAGTGATTTCTGATTTAATATTCTGATTTTTGGTGTACAATTTGAGGTAACCTTTTTTTCAATGGGTTTCATTAAAACCAGTTTTGCAGATGTATTCATATTTGTAAGTAATTTGTGTGTGTGTGTGTGTATGGATGTGAGTAAAAGATAATGAAAATTTGGAAAATTTATCTTTTAAAAAAAATGCATGTTTTTTCATCTAGCAGTTTTATATGTAATACATTCAGTGCACGTTTCCAGTTAGCTGCGAAGAAAACTAAATATGAGGTTTTTAAAAATATCACGCTTGTGTTCTGTACTTTTTAAACTTTTATTCTGTGTAATCTCCACATTACTTAAATATCTGTTATAAAGTAGCACACATTTTATATCCCTTTCTCCGAGAAATTTGCTGCATGTCCATTCAATTAATGTTTTTCTTTTCATTTCCTTGCTGTTAAATAATTGTCCAGCAGGAGATGATTTCAAATGTATTAAAGGATAATTCATTTGTTTTTATCCAAACTGTTTGGCTTAATAAGAGTTTGAGTGGCAGTATGTGGCAGAAAACCGTCATTAAATAGTTCATGATAGTGCTTAGACATTGGCATTATCGTAAAGCTCATTTTGTGGTGAGTATATATTCCTCTTGTTTCGAAGTGCTCATAACAAGTTTTATATTATCACAAAAGATTTCTGAATTCCTCGTTTTATCATGAAGCAAAAATTCCCTAGACAAAATTACTCATTGGTCCAAAATATATCACAAGTTATCTTCTGATTTGAATTATAGATCTAGAGTGCATCCATTCCATAGGCTGATAGTTCAGTTCTGGAACATGTTTTTCATATGAAAATAAAATATAACAAAATATGACTAAAAATAAAAATAGGACTCAAAGTTTCATCATTGTGATTCAAGAATTCATTGCTTTCCTTATCGTCTCAAGTGAGGAAGTTGAGAGGGGTTTCATTTTTTCTTGTGTTCTCTAATGGTGTATTTTTTAAAATTTATTGAGAATACAACTTTTTTAGTTCAGTTCAGTTCAGTTTTGAGTATTTGATTAAGAAAAGTGCTTAACAGTGCATAGCTCGGGGGGGGGGCTCAGTGGAGTACCTCTGTCCTTGGGCACAGCATCCTTGGGCTTTTTTTTTTTTTTTTTTTTTATTCTGCCTTCAGCCTTTGTGGGTGAAGGTTGCTCTTTCTTACCTATGGCTTCAGCCCATGATCCTGCGCTGCCATCCCGCCGGATAAGCATATCACCCCGACTTGAGCATACCTTGTGATGAAGAACAAGATACTATGGGCACCTCGACCGCTTCGGAAACGGAACTGATGGATACAAAACCGGAATTAGTTGTTATGTTATCAGGTTCAATGTTCCGTCTTACTTTCTTCGGGAACATGCAAGGACCTGACTCGAAACAGAGAGCTTACTAAAGCTATGTTCAATAACTGTGGGAAGTAGACAGGATACACAAGAAGGGTATACAAAACCCTTTATTTTTCTCTATTTACAATAACTTCCGTACTTCGGAATACAAAGACCCACTACTTGTGGTCTAAACGTAAAAATATAAAAATAAAACTAAACTCTAATTTTACTTTAAAATAATAAACGTGGAAGATTGGCCTTATATTAACAGGAAGCCGTATGTAGTACAGAGAACTGTGAACACTACAATACGTTTAAAATTATCAAGAGGATTAAACCTCTGGCCTGGAAGGCAACCAGCAACTGAGTAAAACTTCTAAGGTAAGCGGCCTGCTTCGACTAACTGCTTCCTCTCTCTCGCTTGGCAAAAATTTACCTATTTTACCTAGGCAAAAAGCCACAACTTAAATACTTAGCGTTCGCCAGACAAACTTTGCATAAATAAGTTAACGCTTATAATTCTGGCCGGAAGTAGAAAATAAGAAGTGATAGTAAAGATTTAAAATAAAATAAACGTTAGTAAAACTTAAGATCCTTACATACTTCCCGCCAGAGTTAATTAGTTTGAAACTGAGGTCTAAAACGACCTTATTGAAAACTTTTAGCTCTAGAATCTAACGCGAGGCCAATCTTTTACAAACATTTTTCGCTAGAAACTAGAAATTTAAAAGAAAGAAATTTGTTTTTACAATAGCAGCTCCCAGGACAACGCAATTTTTTTCATCTGTACTGCATCTAAACAGGAGCTTTTATTCAAATCTGGTTCCTTCCAGAGATCTGGAAGGAAAACTAGTTTAATGAAATGTTACACAATGAAATGGCAAGTAACATGTATAATTTATTTCTCTTAACATTCTTATTTCATTCATGACTATTTTAATTATCTCTTCCCCGTGCTCTCTGACATGTGTTGTAAAAGAACACCAAACACGAATGTGTTTATGTCTATATGTTCAACACTTCCTCCTACAATCAAAACACTAACGTGTTAAAATTCAACATACCAAGACCTCGTAACACACCCTAACTTTCAACTCTAAACCCTGAGGTACTATTCTGAAAGTGGCTAACTCTGAAGTGTAGCGTCAGAGCCTAACTACATTCATTCAACCTTTAACACATATTCACCATGATTTAGTCTTTTTTTACAGTCACACGAATAAAAAAAAAATTTTAACATTACTTTCACTTTTACCATATCACGGTATTTTTTTAACATTTGAAATAACAGTTCACATTGTATATAAGAACATATTAACATGCCGTTAATTTTACGCATTTGAAAACATACATTAGTAGTACATTGTTAACTTCTATTCTTTTCAAAGCAAGTGCCAATTCTTTCTACATTGAAATACTACATTTCAAAAAGTCTTTCAGACTAAAACTTCTTTCTTGCCAGAATGTTTTAAATAAAATTTATACAATAACTTTTACAATATTTAAGTCTTTACACATCGCTATTATACATCAACTTTAGTTTTACGCGCGAGTAATTGAAAAAC